AGTAAAGGTGTTATAGCCTATGCTTACTCTATAGCTTATATAATATAAGTTATTTGTAACCTATTATAAACGTGTTCCTAACTTATTATAGCCTAGTTCCTAAACTTAACCTAGCTCTAAACCTATCTCTAACTTAAAGGTTTCTATTCTATTAAAGAAATATATATTAGCTTTATAAATAAAGATAAAATCTTGCGTATTATAAAGCGTAAAAAGCTTCTATAGTTCCTATTTAAGAGTAGCCTTAGAGGAGTATACTATAAGTAGAGGATAAAGCATTAGGATCCTAAAACTATACATGGTGTAAGAGAACAGGTTTAGAACACGTTGCTAACACGTTACTATAGGCGTATATATAGTAAATCTTTATATTAAGCTTAGGTAACTTAATTATTTACCTTTTTAAAGAGTAGGTATTAATTCTATTAGATTAAGATATATTCTAGATAGATATATTATATAAGAGGTTATATAGGGTATAGGCAGAGATTCTAATAGTAATCTTCTACCTATAGGAAAAGAAGTATATATATTAAGAATAGGTTTATAACACATTTCTAACACGTTATAGTTATTATACTTAGCTAAATTATTATAGATAAGGATATAACTAAGATATATTAAGTTACTATTACTAACTTCTTTTAGAAGTATAAAGCACTTACAAAAAGACAAGTATTATAGAGGTATATTTACTTATAGGGATTCTATAGGACTACTATTAATATATATAATAAGTAGATAATAGGCAAGTTTTATAGCGCACTATAACCTGTTTGTAACGTGTTTCTAACTTGTTTCTAGGACTTAGGCGCTATCTCTAGTTAATTAATCCCTATAAGCGTAACTAGCGCTAGCAACTTTAATCTTATATAAGATTTTATTAAGTATATCTATAAAGAAGTATTTATAAAGTATATAAAAGAGAGCTAGATAATACTACCTCTTTATATCTAAGTAAATTACTACAGGTATTAATAGTAAAGGAATACTTTTAGCTTACTAACCTCCTCTTATATAAGTAAATATATTCTAAACCTATTCTAAACGTGTTCCTAACTTATTCTTATATAATTAGAATATAAACCCTCTAAAGATACCTAAAACTAGGTAATCTATAAGAAAAACCTAGTAATTACTACTAGGATTATATAATGCTATAGTAAAATATTAAAAAAGGTATAGGAAAAACTAGAATCTTATTTAAATATAGCTAAGCAAGCAGGCTAGAAAGGATATAAAACTAGTAAGCATATAAGTATTCTTAAGGCTACTTAGAAGTAAGTTTATAACCTATTCTTAACCTATTAGAATTATATAAGTAATATTATATAGTGCACACTAGATAGATCTATAGGATATAAAAGAGTTTAAAGCCTAGAGCAAGTTTAGAATACGCTATAACTATAGAACTCCTAATAGGCTTAAGCAAAGGTACCTTAAAAAGCTTTAGAGGGGAGAAAGTAAGTCTTACGCTAGCGTTATATATATTTGCTAATTAAAACATATTTAGAATATATTTAGAATATATCTTATAATAATAATAATACTCTAGATAATAATAAAGCAAGTCTTGCTATATCTAACTTAACTAGATATATCTTAGTCCTAATAAGAAATAAAAGAGCACACTTAAAAGCCTAAAGCTAGAGGGCAAGTAGTAGAGTAGTATTAGAAAGAAGTTTACTAGCCCCTTTTCTATCTTCTCTACTACTAGGCTCTTCTCCTCTACTAATAGTAACCTAAAGGTATGCTTCGCGAAATATATTTATAACACGTTCCTAACTTATTATTAGTCTATAACTATAAACTTTATAATAAAAGGCTCTTCTTAGTAATTAGGCTTTAAAGGAGAGAAAAGAAAAGCTAGAGGTAGATAAGGAAGAACTTATATAGAAAAAGGCACTATTTAAATTATAAAAGGTATAGTTTAAACTTAAGAAAGAGATAGCTACTTTTTATATAAGGTAGGGTTAGTCTATAAATATAGTAACTAGTTCCTAACTAGTTCTTAATATATTCTAGTCTATTATATAAGTATATATAAGTAGATAAATATATATTCTTTCTTCTTCTCTTTCTTCTTCTTTCTTCTTATACTCTATAAGAACTTTTTATATTTAAGAGTTTAATACTATTTTACTATCTATCTTTCCTAATATTATTAGATATAACTAGTTAATATAGTCTATAAAGATCTTTTAAAGTTAGTATATAATAGAATATATTAGGAACACGTTATAAACTTGTTCTAATACTAAGTAGGATTTATACTAGCGATATATTAAGCTTAAGTTACTTCTATCTAATACTAGGGTATTCTCTCCTATAATATCCTACCTAAATAATAGGTGTATAGTATTTCCTAGCGAGCTTTTCTACTAGGCTATTTAGGCTAGATTAGGGGTATAGGAACTTTATAAAGTATATATATATATAAGTTAGAACACGTTTATAATATATTAATAACTATTTTAGTGTTGCTTCTCTAATAGAGGCAATCTTATCTACTACCTTAAGAGGTATTATCCTAAGGTTTAAATAGCCCTAGTAAACTATAGTAGAACTATAATACAAGGTATTGCAGAAGCAAGGATCTTCTATAGAAGCTTAATAGTAAATGCTTAAGAACGTGTTCTAAACACGTTAATAATATATTCTCTACTAGTAGAGTAGACTATACTAAGTACCTCCTCTAAGGTTTAAGAACCCTCTAAGATAGCTAGTCTATAATAAGAAGTAGTAGCTAGAGTAGAGGCTAAAGAGGAAGTAGAGAGTAAAGAAAAGGAGTAAATAGTTGCTCCCCTTTACACTATAAATAATATTTAGCAAAAGTAGTAAAAAGGAGATATAAGTCTAGTCTCTTAAAATATGTTTAGAATATATTAATAATATATTATAGCTAGATACCTATAAATACTAGATTCTTCTTTAATCTAAGAGACTACTAGAGCTTTATAATACCTATAAAAGTTAAAAGAAAAAGTTATATACTATTAAAGGACCCTATAAAAGTAAATAGTACTTTACTTTTAGTAGATAAAAAAAAAAAGAGAAGAGTAGAGAGTTTATTTTAGTAATTACTACTACCCCTTTAGGTTATATACTATTATATATTATTTATTAGAACCTATTCTTAATATATTCTTAATATATTCCTACTTGTTACTATTATTATCTCCCTCCCCCTCTCTAGTATCTTCTCTATCCTCCCTATCCTCCCTAGGCTCTATAAAAGCATACCACAAGTAGAACTAGGTAGTATTCTAGCAGGAATTAGTAAGGTCTATACTAGTATTAAAGTAATAGTCTTAAAATATATTAGGAATAGGTTAATAATATATTATAAATAACTTACTATAGCTAGGATAATTATAAGTATAGATAGTATAAGGAACCTAATAACCTTAAATCCTTAGTAGGGTAGATATAGTAACAAAGTTAAGCTATAACAAGTTAGTAACGTGTTTTTAATAGGTTCTTGCAGGCTATACCTTATTACTATTATAGCTAGTGCAAGTCTTCTTCTAAATTATATTTAGGAGGGTATTAGTATTTACTAGGGGGCCTATAGTAGCTACTAGCTAGGCTTAGAGAACTTCTATAAAATATATTAGTAATAAGTTTTAAATATATTCTAAATAACTTATAGTAAGGAGTATTCTAGTAATTATATATAACCTTTATATAGAAGTCTATATATATTAGTATAATAAGTTAAGAATAGGTTAATAATATATTTACTCTTTACCTTGTAGACCTCTATTATAAAGGGCTAGCTAGTCTTCTTAACCCTACTAACCTTATAGTAGGCTATATTAAGCCTATAATCTTTTTTAGTATAGGTATATAGAGTGCCCCTAGTACCTAGAATAGCCTAAGAATATTAGAACCTATTTAGAACACGTTTAGAACCTATTCTTACTCTATATAAGGTGCCCTTATTATTAATCTTAGTATAGTAGTAGCGCTCTCTACTCTCTATCTTAACTACCCTATTAGGGCTAACTATAGGCTATACCCTAATATTATCTAGGACATGGCTAAGGGTAAGGTACTATTAATAGTGCTTCTATAACCTATTAAGAATATATTCTAAATATATTTTAATCTGCTTATATAGGATATAAAGGATACGTTAGTAATAGGTATAGTAGTAGTAGCTTATAGTATTACTAGTATAGAATATATTTAGAATAGGTTTAGAACGTGTTACAAAATCTTATAGTATAATATTTAGTTAACCTTGCTTAGCTAGCTAGTAAAGCTTGGCACGGCCTAACCCTATGCCAAATACGAGTTCACGCAGCGCTAATTCCATGGTTATATGAACTGCGCCCTCGGCGTAATTAATGGTACTGCAGGGTAATACTACCGAGAGGCGGCCTCGGCACTCGAGCCACCACACTTACTGGCTCGTAATTTACCTGCATGGAAAGTACTACCGAATAAGCTTTCCCATTACGATCCTATCTCTGGGGGGTGGGGGGGAGCCTGGCGTTCTCAGAAGTGGAGCTATCGGGAGCCGCAGACGTTTGTTTGAGTGTGTGTAAGGTACAATGCGATATCGATGAGTCTTGCACTGCGTTGCTCACTTGGAGATCTAACTTCGAATAAGCTTGCGGATATGAGCTTCTATTACAAGGATCCTGTGGGCCGAATTGTAGAGAGTCACTGCTAGGTACCTTAACACGAGGATCCCAGCGGACAGATTTGGTACTATAGTTCCGAGATCACCACAGGACTACAGACGACAAGCGTCGACTCACCGAATGTGACAAAGGTCCGAATGTGTTCCCGTCCTGGCACGGCCGCACCTCAACGCCGTCAATGCGGCTCTGGAACTAATGTAAACCTAGTCCCATCAAAACATGAAAGATGTGGTATATAAACACCCGCTGTTTACCAGGAAGTCCAACACCACCACCACCACCACCACTCTCAAAAACTAAACACTCAATCCTCCTCACCAAATCATATCAAAAAAAAATTACATAGCGATGCTCGGCCTCCCTCTCCTCGCCTTCGCGGCCCTCGCTTTCTCCACCGCCTCCGCCGACAACCCACCCGAACCAAAGAACTCAAAGCGCGGCCACAAGTCCATCCCCATTTTCAAGGACATGACCAAGGACTGCACGCAACTTACCTACATTAAGCCCGACGAAGACTGCGGAAACATCCTAACCGCAACCGGCGTCCTTCTAGGGGACTTGTACAAGATGAACCCGAGCATAGGCGATAATTGCCAGACCATGAAGGGCGGTGCCTGGCTCTGCGTCTCCACAGAGACTATTGCTGAGGTCGCGGCCAAGAAGGAACAGATACCTGCGCCCTGGATGTGTGCTGATAAAACGGTTTGCCGATGCCCGGGTGACGGACAGAGTTAGCTGGATGTAGTATTGAGTTGAGGAGGGAAGAGTGGGGTGCGATTGGTTCTGTGGAGGAGGATGGATGACGGGGATGGCAAGGGTTTTGTACGTTGGTGGTAGTCGGGCGGAAAAGTAATGATAATGTGAAACTATTTCAAGAACAGTTCGATTGAAATTGAGGACTATGTCGGGATACCATTCTCCTTTTACACAGCAAGTTTCCATCTAGAATTGCTTGGGGATGTGAGGTTTTCCCTGTAGACGCGAAAAACTCTGTAAACCGAATGTACGAAATTTCAAGTCGACGACAGTGACGACAAGAGACTTGTGTAATCTCACACAGAATATTAAAAACTCCACCAGTTTAGATGCCAGCAGCTGCACAACGCCATGTGGACATGAATCCTACGTGCTCCCGCTGAAAAGGACATGCGAATGCAAGTAAGCAAACATTGACCGTCAATCGCAGCTTGAGACAAAACTCTATTCTCCAAAAGTATTCTACAACATCATCATCATTACCGGCCTCCTGGCTAGACCGCTCCCCGACAGTTAAAACAGAGAGAGCGTATGAAGCCCCGATGGTCATTCTTCTGGGAGTCCGGCTGCGGGAGCATATGGCGGTGTTGCTGCCTGCTTGTTGCGCTTTTGTTTGATCCTGAGCAATGGATGAGGTGAACTGAGTTTAGGTTAGCCCTAGATTTGGTTTGGGTTTGAGACAATAGTGGTAAATGTGGGAGGCCGGGGTGGAATTATGTCTGCAATGTGCTCTCTACGTCACTTTGACATACGGATATTGGAGACTATTGATATATTAGAGTATGAGTAATTCCAGGAAATGTTTTTGCACTTAGCACGGGTCGAAATATAACAATTTTATGCGCATCAACACCTCGATTGATAAAGGCATCATCATGTCAAAACGTATTTAGAGCAGCAATCACAAGCTTCCCAGTTGGTGTCTGTCAATGCTCATGATGGAAGGCTACACCTGACCGACCAAGACAATTGTGTCACTGTGTAGCTCTCCATATTTGCTCACAATACAATAATATTGCACAAGTTCCAGAAACATCACACAATTCACTTATTTCACTCACACAACGCAGAGTGAATACGACCACTATAATTACAGCCTTGAGCTTCCCTATCCAGGATGACCCCAATAGACTGGCAAGTACCATACCAGCTTCACAGACCACTCCTTCACAAAACCCACAAACGCAACTCTACCCCACCCCCAACCCCCGTATCTAAATCCACTATATCCCGT